GGTGTATGTACTCTCTCAGTAAGATTTCTTTTTATAGAGTAAGTGCTTAGAGTGTGTTCTTGAATGCTGAAGAGGATTTTTTTTTTTTTTTTAATATGAACACATACAAATTGTCTAAGTTGTAGGACTGGTTCACAGTATCTCTGGGAAGAGAAAAGATGTCATTTTTATGAAGACCTCAAGGATAAGTGCCCAGCTGCATGGCATTGATTTATGGGTTTATATGTTTTCTTACTATTTCATTAGGCAAGGAAGAAAGCCAACAAATCCTTTAATGTAATTTTAACACCAGTTATTATTAATACCTTTATACTTAGTACTTTCTAGTAAGTTTTGTATTCAAAGTATAGATTTAAGTTGGCATGGTAATTGTAGCACAATTGAATGCAAGGAAATGACACGTTAGCAAGCGCTAAGCAGTCAATAGAGTCTTTATTTCTTAATCTGGGGTAGTAAATACTTGTTGCCCTAATTCTATAAATTGATTGTAGAATTGTATAGCTTTCTGTGTTTGTGAGTTTGAGAGTTTTCTCTTAGAATCTAAAAGTCCTGAAACATGGGAAAACACATGCTGGTAGAGGTATGACCTGTTAAATGTTTTCTGTAACTTTAAAGGAAAACTCATTTCAGGTCTACTGAATATTCTTTCATTCTCTTACTCAGCATGCAGCTGGGACATGGTTACATAGAGGTATTTTAACCTTGAGGCTTGATTACTTCCAATCAAATCAATTTCATTATTACTACTGGCTGAGAGTTTCATATGGCTGAGGCAAAGGGATTTGGTGACCTCATTCCAATTTCTCTTGATCCATTTGTCAGCCGACTGATTCTGTTATTGCTCTTCCCAGAAGATCATCTCATGGTTAAAAGAAAAGGGGGTAAGTAGAGTCAGAATGAACAGAGATGAGAAAAGTTTCCATTCTGTTGCTGTCCAAGAGTGTGAATCTCTTCCATGTGAGTATCTAAATACCTCAATATTTTGTGACACGTTCTTGCTATGTAAACTTCTCTGTGATGGGGCCACGGCTTGTCCAGTGCCACTGGCTCTTTTCAGGGAATTTCTCAGTTGAAGCTTTCTGTTCCTAAGTACTGCATGTCCTGTAAGGCTACTTTTGCCATGCAGATGAAATAGGAAATTAAATAGGTCATGTAAGGAAACATGAATAATAAAGGAGAAGCTCACTGTAGACAAAAAATACATCTGTGTGATTTTCATCGAACATCTAGTAATAGGTGTTACTACCTAATCATAGCATAATGTGCATCGTGTTCTTTTATAGATTTCTTCAGTGTTTTAATTTCAGTTAACCACAGTTTAGGTTTCTGGACTTGAGACTATGATTTACTAGTATGGCATGAACTTAGTTGAAAGTAAATCCATTCCTGAAGGTGTTATCAAAGTAATTTAGATTTTTGGATATCTTCACTTTAAAATATTTAGTTGGTGTATATTCACTGGGGAAAGAGTGCTTCATTTTAATTTTGATGGTGATTGAATTCTGGAATTAAAAATGGATTGAACAATCTATTTTGTTTTAATGGATGAAAAAACATTTTATAACTCGGTAATTTATTTTACAGGTTATATTTTTGGTCCCCTCCTGTGTCATACAGGCTCATGTATTACTCATCCCTCCCTCCTTCTTCTGCCAAGTGTGGGGAGGTTTGTTTGTTTGTTTGTTTGCTTAATTTCGATACCCTGATGTGTTTGAATTGAAGAATCCTGAGCAGAAGTCTGTTCTGGGGCAGGAAGTTTTCTTGATGACTTGGATAACATTTACTTTTACTTTCTAATGCTGCATCGGCTTTCAAGCAATTAGATGCCATTAAGGCAAAGAATTTTATGTGTTTTGTATAATAATAAAAGTCCCAAGTGCTGGTGGTTATTGAAGTTAACACTTTTTGCCCAACTGTGGGAGTACTAGCATCTTTGAGAGGTTCCAATTTTGGTTCTTATTTATGCTTGACATTTAATGTGGTTGACATTCTGATTATTTTACACCTACCTAATTTCTTCTAGCTCAGGGGATAATGACAATATTTTAAACAGTTGTGAAGGGTAGCTGTATGTTATTAAGCAGGTGCCACACTACAAATGGAAGGAAAAAGTCCCTAAACTATTTCTAGAATAATTGTTTTTGTGTTGTGTATCTCGGGGTCAAGTAGAGTTGTTCATCAGCTTGTTCAGCTGTGCAACTTGGTTATCTGAATTGTTGCTGGGAAGATAAAGCCTCACTAATATTTTATGTCCTTTTATTTACTTATACATCTATCTGTGTGTAAATAGATGTATATAAAAAACACAGTGCTGGACTGTGTGCTTACATTGTGTCCTTTGTGATCTAGGGGTGAGGCCTCATATTGATAGATCTCTGAGTAGTTACTGAGGGCTCACATTCTTCGTAAAGTTTGAATCAAAATGGCACTATAAAAGAACATATTCTAGATGAAATTCAGTCCCTTAAACTGAGCTCATATGTCTATAGCATACATTTACTGTTGGTATGGTAGATCTTAGAGGTAGCTGTCCTGTGTCTTGGTTTATAGATAATTGGGGTATAACATGAGAAATTAAAATATGATGGGGAAAAATTACCTAATTGATTGTCAGTATACTTTGTGTAAAGCCTCTGCTCTACCACATTCCCATGTAAATATGCGGTTCCCTGCAGACTTGTAAGAATTTAGGTTCTTTTGAACAGGGTGAAAGAGGTATCAGAGAAAGTGAAAGCAGAAGGAAAATGGTAGGAAGACCAAGTTCTTAAGAGAAGTACAGGTGGTGGTCACAATTCCTATTTGTTTCATCTACTAGAAATTTTGTGTTGCGTTTAACTATCGTAATTGAGTAAATTGACTAGACAAAGAGCGATAAAGAAATGTTAAAATATTTTATTTTACAGAGCCGTGCGGGGACATTACTTACCCAAGTCCTTGCAAAACAATTGTCATGTCCTACCAAAGGGTCCTTGAAGCAGCCGTGACTGAATGTGTTATCGGAATGATTTTTTTTATATATATCTTTTTCACAATCTTGCCACCTGGTGGTATACCCTGGCAATAAAATTGTGGTTAGAAACCGTTTCTAAGTCATGTTTACTTTGATAGTCAAGATCTCAACAGCAAAATTTAAGATTGTATTATAAGTAGGTTCTTGGGCTTTAGTGTGCCAGTTCAGTGTGTTCTTCCTTTATTGTGTCAGTGTCCCATGTTAGCTGCACTATAAGGTTGTGCATGTCTTTGCACTAAATATATCTGTTTTCCTCTGTGCTCTGATTCCTACAGAAAAGGGAGGAGAAAGTCTAGAAATAGTGTGTGATCCTGGAACACTGAGTCATGGCACATTAACCTTCAAAATAAATTTGAAATATAGTTTAAAGATGAATGGTGTCCATGTCCTAAAATTCCCAGATAAAATTATGCAAACTGAATTTATCTAAGTTGTGGTAAGAACACTTAAGGAATTTTGTTATCCCTGAAACAAGCGCTACAAATCCAAGCAATATGGAACTTAATTGTATTTGAATAATTTAACCTTTCATTCAGGCATAAGGTGAAGACTGAATAAAGTCAATGACATGCAAGACCTGGCATCTTTAAAACCTTAGTGGCAGGAGCATCGGGGAAGCTCGCTCCTTTATGTTAATCTGAGATGAAGCAGATGGTCTTACTGGTGTCTGTGTGGGGAAACACTCGTTTAAAATAAAACATGTTTTTACATAGTGTTCAAAGGGCATTAAACAATCGCGGTTTTGCAAGCTGAATCCAAATACTGAGGGGTATGATGAACTGATCGTTAACTGGAACTTTTAAGTCAGAAGTGGATGTTTTCTCTACCAAGATCACCTCCGGCTGTGCCATATGCTGTTGTTTGACACAAGCGTAACTGAGTAAAATTCTATGACTTGGGTCAAAAATGGCATCGTACTGAAACACAGTGGTTCCTTTTTAATACAAAAATGTGAAAATTTTATTTCTGTGTGTATATCTTTGTAGCATTGATGTGTTTGCACATGGAACACTTGCATCCAGCAGGACCTCTCCTGCTTGCAGAACTGCTGCCTGTGATTTCAGTATCTTGAGTATCTATTATGAAACAAAGTCAGAATGTCGTTTATTCATGATGACATCGTTACGTTGACCTTAAGACCCCTCAGTTATTCAATTCCAGGTTCTTATGTCATGCAAGGAAAGCCAGGGGAATGTCTGTCCTCTCTGCCACTCTGTCTCACACACACAGACACGTGAACACCCGCAGACACACATACACACACTCCCCCAGCTGTACGCTGCCCCCCCCAGCCCCAGTAGCCTGCAGTCAGCCTGTCACCCCCTGCAGTGGCTCTCCTGTATGATCCTGTACAGCACAAACAAAACACTGTTCTGCGTTTCTCTCCTCTTGCCCCCTCTGGTACGAGGCAGAGCTGCAGATACCAAAGCCCACAATGAGCACTGTCCATTCTGTTTGCTGTCTGCCTCCTTGTTCTTATCTGTTTCTTGGCCTCAGTCTTTCCCACTTTCAGACCTTTGTCCTCCCCCTCATAGTTGATGCTGAATATGAATAACTTTGAGTAGCTGTTCTGGAGCATCTTGAAGTGCTGAAGGTTTGCACTTAACTTCTTCAGGGTTCTAGCTATTTTTAAAGACGATGGGAGTTAAAACCAGTTGACAGTCTCCAAAGGACTGTACATTAAAAATACCATGTATTTACATATATGAGAGGCCACAGGGCTACAGCACTGATGAACAGACAAGAGCAAGAGATAATTAGGACTGAGGTTCATAGTTCTAAGCTGTTAATAGATCTTTGGTCACAGAGTTAGAACTTTTAAATCACATAATTTACTGCAAAATGTCTGTAACTATTTATGACACTGGATGTTTGCTCTTGGATCTGTTTCTCCTGTGGGGTATCGTTTAGATCAATCCTTGTTTGTTCTATTAATTTGCTTAATTCTCTGGGGTTTGTCAAGTCCAATTATCTCTTTTCTTTCTTCCAGTTTTGAAATCAAGATTGATTAACCAACACAAAAAGACCCAGCTGGTTATGTGACTTGGAACCCTGTTTATGAAGCACTCATTCATTTTTAGAAGACGACAGCACTGTATGTTGTTTTTTCTTTTTCTCCTCAAAATTAAAAATTAACTGTTGTAACTTAATAGAAATCCAATAAAATAGAAGATTCTTGAGGAATTCAACTCTTACTGATAAATAAGGTCTTGGGGTTTGATTTAGTGGCATCAGCCAAGGAAACAGAAGTGCTCTACTAATAATACATACTACTAATCAGAGATTTCTTCCACATAACAATGCTACTTACTGTTTCACATAGTTTAACGAGAGCTTCCCCCAGTTTGAAAGATCAATCTGCTTTCTCTTTATATTGTGGTGTTTGAAGCGTGGGATTAGCGAATGTGACAAATGTGTGTTTTAGACTGCATTGACAATGGATTATGTAAGGGCCAATGCTGAAACCTGGGGCAGAGACTGTAAAGTAAAGGCAGGAGGAGATTGCAGTGCCACTTAATGACACCTATGCAAACACATAGCTCTAGCAGAACTCTAGACTCTCCCCCACCCTGCAGGACCCCAAGATTTTTGACTAAATAATGCTTCCTCTGTACTTGATTTAGACAGTATTTTCCCACAATTGTACATTTGCTCTCTATAAGATATACCCTCAATTTTAATTGCAAAATAAAATTGCACAGATAAATTATCAGCCTTATAGACTATAACCCAAGTGTGGGGATGCATAAATGAAAGTTCCAGCAGTAACATTAAATGGCTTAACTTTTTTTTTTAAAAAATATATCATGAGCTGTGTTGTATAAGCTAAAACTTAATAAATTAAACTATTAGATACAGGTGAAGTGCTGATGTGTATGTCAGCATGCTATATGTGGTATGAATCTTATCTTTTCCTTTTCTGTGAAAATTGGCTGTCTTACCAGTGATGAGACTTTCATCTCTCTAATTAGGTGATGGAGTTTTTTTTAATTGTTAAATTTGGGAGCAATACATTTGCATGATGTTCCACTTAGACGAGCAGGAATCCAAGCAACACTATCAGGTACAGGGAAGCACCAGATTATTTCAAGCATTTCTTTAGTTATAGCTGCAGTAGAAGTCAGGCAGCTTGGAGTGGCTGAACTTTATAACCACATTAAAATGAAGTTGCCCAACTTGCTCTGAATGTATGAATATTCTGGGTTTTTTTAATGAGATGAAAAAGCTAGTATTTATTCTGGATTTTCTGTTGAATAGTAGATGGTTCTAGTGATTTGTAAGTAGTGATGACAATAAATGTACAATCTGTTTTTTTTTATTTACCTCTCTTGTTACTGAAGGTTCATTAACCAAGAAGCGAAATGAGGTATAATATTCAAACTGTTACAGAAAAAATGGAAACAGCACTCACTACCTACTAAATTAAATCTTGGGCATATAAAATAGTAGAACCAATAAAGAAAAATTAATAAATATTTACTCAAAATAGTTCTGTACAGTGAAGTATAAGATTACTTTTGATTTTTATGGTGACAAGGAGATGTCTGAGCAAATTTGCTTTATGACAGCAATAAATATATTCCCAGTATGGTAATGAGATTGGTTAGCATGTTACTAGGAAAGAGAAAGAATCGCACTTGCTCGTTTTTTAACAAATCGACATAGGAATCAGAAACATGAGTACCCTATTGTTTTGGGTGTCTTTTTTCTGTTCATGTGATGTGTACAGAAGTAAGCACACTTAAAGCTTGGTATGAAAACCACAGAAAAATTAGTAACAACTGCACAAATAAAAAAGCTTTGCAAGATTTTTATGAGTAATTAAGGAAGCTTTCCATAGCATATAGCTTTAACTTCTGTAGAGCTGCTATGAAGAAGACTGTACAGACTTGTTTTAGATTATTTATTTTCTTTCATACTGTATGTTAAAAAAGCTGAAAGGACCTGTTGGATTATGAAGTTTATAAAAAGCATTGTATTACCCAAAATAGCACTTGCACAACTTTCAACGTGTTAAAAATATTATATAATTTTTATGTGGATAGAAATTATTCAAGGATTTGCTCTTTTTTGTCACTAATAATTTCCAGATGAATTTATACTCAGGCGGTAAGTGTACCTATAGTTCTCATATCATGTAGATAATGTATGTTTGATAGGCTCTTTTAACTAAAACTAATCTAATTTTTGTCAAAATGTTCTACTTAGTACCTGTTTTTTCAATACAGAGCAGAACAAAAACATGGTCATAATGACTATGTGGGCAAGTAACATCAAGTTATTGCAGTGTGTTGAGCATTACTTCTTACTGACATCAGTCTTTGACTGCAGTAGTTTGGCACTGTTGCATTAATGAAGGTTTTAATAGATGCTCTAAGCTGTGCAGACCAAATATTGTGCTTGTCTTTCAAAATACTAGAGATTCGAGCTCCTTTTTTTTTTTTTTTTTTTGAAAAGTCTTAAAACAAGTAGTCTATAATCTATTTGTCAGACATTTAAATGTCTGTAAGAGACTTAAAAGCTTAGACAGACTTACAAGAGAGGGAACTTTCTCAGTCATTCAGCTATTAAAAAAAAAAAAAAAAAGCCTCCCTAAGGTTTTTCTACTTTTTTTGCGCAGAAATAAGAAGAGTTTGAAATACCATAATTTTCTCTATTTCTTAATATAATACACAATAGTTCTGATGTTTGTTATGGAAGGCAAGCTGCCAGGCACAATGACACAATTTGGTATGCTTGTGAAAATAAGAAATTGTAAAACCCCCAAACAAACCTTCCTAAAGAATCCTGTGTCTTTAGCTTCACAAATTCTGTTCTAGAAAGATATAATGAGCTAAGAGTCTAACTGTACCTGGATTTCATGGTTTAATCTGCCCCCGAACCAGAACGGAGATTGCATTTACGTAAGGTGTTGCTTGTTTCCACTGATGAACACAAGGCATCCGTTCTGGTTAGGTTTTAACACAAGTTTCAGGTAACACTAAACAGGAGATAACACTACTTTGACCGTGGGATTTTGTCTGGTGAGGCCAAGAGCCCATAAGGATTATTTCTTCACAAAGGTAACTGCAGCTTTTGTCCTCTCCTAAAGATATTCTCGAATGAAATTCTTCATAGTCTTTTTTTTTTTTTTTCATTCTTGTGATTTGCCAGAGTTATTAAGGAAGATACTTTAGGCTGCTATGTTTTTTTCTGCATTACTTAAAAATGAACCATCAGTTGTAAATGACAATGAAGAAGCTGAAGAAACGGCCTCATCTTCAGCACCAGCTGTAGCTATGCCTGCATTTCACTGTCTGGCCTGTAAATGCAGGGCACCAGTGAAGCCACTGAAGCTTTTGGCTTTCCAAATAGTTATGATGACCTTTGACAAACTCTGCTTTTGTAATTTCTTCCATCTACATTGGAGGAAAATAGCTGTAACAACAAAGTGTGGGATTTGTGTCTCACTTCATTACAATTCTCAGCACAGCTGTGGTGGGCACAAATTGTACATCAGCTCATCCCAAACAATTGCATAATATGTCAACAAAATTTGTTTTATAGGTTTGATGTCGGAGACGGTCCCAGCCATCTATTTCTGTGTTCCTTTTCCTGGGATTGTCCCCTGTGTTTTGAAGGGGAAGAGGAGTATGTTCCGTTTTCTTTCACGGGTTAGATGCAAGTATGACACTCGTGCAGAAAAGTTGTGCAGAAGTAGAGTATGTCTGTACCTACAATTACCTGTATAGTGTTTGTTTTGGTTTTTTTTTTTCGCAACTAAACTAAAAATACATGAATACTTCTGAACTCTTACCCCTTTGAAAAATCATCTTTTCCTACTATCTGAAGCTAGTGAAATTTTATAATCATACAGTTACTACTTAATTTCAGTTTTGATGTTATTTTAAGAGGTCAGTAATGATGATAGTACAACATAACTATACACAGTGGGAGGGTAACAGTAGACAATTCCTAGCTCTTGCATAGGACTTCTCAGCAGTAAATCTTGTAGTGCATTAGAAGTATGGATTGTTAACTCTGTTTCATAGGTGATGGAAACTGTGGACCTAAGAGGTTATCAAGCATGTCTGTGCAAACCTGTTTTCATGTATTCTGTTAACTAAACATCAGAGTATAATGACTCTCCTAAGCAATATATTAAAATACAATATGGAAACAAAAAAAGTTAATGGTATTTTAATGGAATAAAATTAAGGATTTTTTATTTTAAGCAGAAAACTTTTAATGTATTCCTGCTGAATTCTGTTTTGTGTGTGCTGTTCAAATCATTCATTGGATTTGAACATATTAAACATGAAGTCAATACGTAATGTCAGTTTATTTTTTTTGTTATTGACTGTTACCTTGGGGTTTAAATATTTCTCATCTGTCTTGGTGTGAACTAGCTGTTGAAAAATGACAAAAGCCATCAGTGCAAGTAGCTGGTTTTCCTTTCTATACTGTATGCAAGCCATTTTTGTCTGATAAAGAGTACAGTGGGTGTTAGCGCTCCAGAGGGTTTTAAGAAGTTGAGTAAGATTAGGAAGAGTGAATAATCAGGTGAGACTTCAGTAGATGCTCAAGTGACTGGAGAAAATGGGAGCGATTACTCAGTAGCTGTCATCCCTGACTTTGAATATAAACAACACCCTGGCCCTACTCTAATGATTTGACTTGTGTGTGGCTGTGTGAGCGAGGCAGGGTGGTTCCTGGCATGTCAGGGAAATTAAGTTTCCATGGAATTTTTTATAAATTAAGACACAAATGAAAACTCTTAAGTTTGTTTACATCACATTTTAATACTATATTACTGATGTAATTTTTTTTCCTTCCTTATTACTTTTGCTACACTTCTCTGAATTAAAAATATTTTGGAAATGTTGAATATTATTAAAAATATTAAAACTTTATAGCAGTCATTGAAATTATTTTTGTAATATTTATTTTATAATTGTTTTATAAATTATATATTTTAGTTTTCTATGTTGGGGATAATTTTGGTTTTGTCTTTCCTCTTTATATAGTAGATTTGCTTCACTGTCACCAAAATAGCTGCTTTGAGGGTTGGCATTTGACCAAAATGAAATGGTTAATTGTATGTTCTGAGAGGCC